TTGACAGACAGGGCTTGGAACCCATCACAGATCGTAACAGAGAAACTGTAGTTCTAAAGCATTAGATAAGCCGTTAGCTACAAATATATCGCAAAGAAATGGAACAAAACAATTTCCATTCAACTAGTAACAATAGATCCATCGTGTTTCACATTTTCAATCCCGCAAGGGGTTGCGCTAACAGCTTTTTACCTGTTACTCGTCTTGTTATGAAACTCACACTTGATGAACCGATACTCAATCTAACCGGCTGTTCTCACATGTTTTGCCATCATGGGAAATGTCAATCGTATGTTAATACCCAAGAAAGACATTGGTGCCAATGTGATAATGGCTGGACTAGTGACGATTGTACTCAATCAACAGTTGCATCAGCACCTTTGTGTGTTTTAGGACGCACAGGTCCCGATTGTCAAATTGAATATGATACATGTAAAAATGTTTATTGTCAAAATAATGGTACATGCGTATCGATTGATATGCAAACACTTCAATACGCATGTATTTGTGAGAAAAAGTTTTTCGGTAATCTATGTCAATATCAAAATGCTCAACTTATTCTTCGTACAACGAATGAAATATCATTTATTTCTATTCTGATTATTCATATGCTTCATACATTAAATACAAATCCGGGTTTACTTTCGCATCGTAATATATATTTTTTCAGAAATATTCATCCGAATACAAAATTAATTATTTATGATGAACAACAAGAATTTCTTGCACCTATCATACTCATAGAGATGTATGTTACAGGTACATTTGATCCGTTCTATTATCTTTTATCATTTATTGTTAATAATCGAACAATAACAACAACAATGATGTTAAGATCATCTTGTCGATGTGCAAACATTCGTGAATTAATGAATTCAACAATAAACAATTATAGTTTATTGAAACAGAAAAAATTCTATCATCATCTACCTTTACAAGGTTTAAAATGTTTCTATGATTCAGTCTATATTTGTTTAGTTGATCGATATCAAATGATTGATTGTCTTAATTTTAATTATCATGCAATGGATTGTACCGAACGTAATTATTGTCTAAATAATGGCCGATGTTTACAGGGGCGACAAACTGGTCAATTTATTTTCGCTTGAATATGTTCTCGATGTCATTATGGTTCATTTTGTCAGTTGACTATGACTCAATTCTCGATTACTTTAGATTCGCTTATTGGACAAGAAATACGTACTGATACGTCATTAGGACAGCAATCATCCATAATAAAAATACTTGTTATTATCGTTATTATCATGTTCATATTTGGTACAATATCAAATTTATGTTCGATAATTACTTTTGTCAATAAAGAAATTCGTTCGATTGGTTGTGGTCAATATTTATTTATTCTATCATTGACATGTCAAATTAGTCTAATCGTATTTATTAGCTATTTTTTCTATCTTCTTATTGGTCAAATTCAAGTATTTAGTAATCGAAAAATTATTCATATAGCTTGTCGTCTTTTCGATTTTGCTCGCAATATTTCTATATCTATATGTGATTGACTTACGGCATGTGTTGCTTATGAACGTACTATGAACGTAGTCAAAGGTATTCATTTCAACAAACGTCTCAGTGTTCGTTCGGTCAAATTCGTTGTTTTTCTACTGATTTTTGTTATTATCATATTATCAATGCATCTAATATTTACATGTGATCTCGTACCAGATCCATGTAATGATGAACGAGTGTGGTGTGTTATCAAATATCGGCACGGCCAGCCATCGGTCCCCTTCGTTGGGGAAGGTTCGAAATCAGTAAGATTCAGAAAAAAAAATTTGTTATAGAGAGTGTGATCTTGAAATATTATTAAGTTTGTTCCGTATTCCG